GGAAGTAAAGCTAGAGCCACTTCTCACAGGGGCTTGCTGTCATTCTGGCCACCAGCCCTGCGGCATGGGCTGGGCTGCATCTCACAAGCTCATCATGGTGGTCCCTAAACCCGCCGCCCCCCTCGAAGCTTAGTGGCCTCAGTGGATGCATCCTCAGGGTTGAGATGACAGAGGGCTCTAGTTGGAAAGGCTGACCCACCCATCTCTAAGTGTCTCCAGTTTCCTGAGGATATGCTACTCTTAAAACCTGCCTCCTGCTAAGGTCTTTTCATGGGCAATTTCTAGCCACATCCCAGTTGGCGTATGAAATGGGCTCAGGATAGAGATGTTCACAAATGGAGAAACAGTTTCTCCTCCTTGAAGTTGGACTGAGTGGAAAACAAAGGTTGAGGGTTCCAGATTCCACAGTCTTGTCTTAAGCCCATTTGCGGCATGGTTTAATACGTCAGCTGTGTACCACCCTCGGTGCTAGGTGCTCTGTGGGTGGTGTGGGCCTTGTGGAACTCTGGAGCCAGGATTTCACTAGTCAGATAAGGAGCCAGGCAGGGGACAGCATGATCCTAAAACTCAGAAGCCCTGGCTTCTCCCTTATGACAGCAAAGCACGATTTCTCTTGGAATCTGCTCTACCGAGACGGATGTTACAATACCCCACATTTGGCCATGATGAGGTCAACACTGGGGACACTGAAGGGAACACAAAGGCTCAAAGTTCCTGCCCTCTTTGAGCTCACAGTCTAAACATAAACGATAACACCAGCTAGAATAAGTGCTATGGAGAAAGGTAAAGCAGGGTGGAGGGGAATACAGAGTGGTGTGTGGCATAGGGGGCCTGCTGTTCCATGAGGGAAGCATCCCAGAGGAGGTGACATTTGAGCAGAGATCTTGCTGATAGAGCCTTGCAAATATCTAAGGAAAGAGCACCCTGGGTAGAGGGAATAGCAAGTGCAAAGGCCCTGGGGTGGAAGTATACTTGGCGCATTCAGAGTGTAGAAGGAAGGCTGGGGGGACTAGAGGAGAGTGAGGAAGAGAAATGCATACTCTTTGATCTCAAAGGAATGGCCTTTCCCAAGGCCAAGTGGGGTCCCTGGGTCCCAGCAGTGGGCTGGTGCTGGCTGGTGAAAGTCCATCCAAATGCAGTTCTGACTAGAAAGCCAGCAGGTGTCCAGCTGTGGATAGTTGCAGGTAGAGGCAGCCACTCACCTCTGTCACCTTCTGGGATAACCTGGATTTCCCCATTAGATAGGCCCCTGACTGTGGAGGCTAAGATGGTTATACTTTCTTTGGAGAGAGGGTGCCTGATATGCCATCAGAGCCCGAAGCCAGAATCAGATTGACACCACGGGAAGGCTTGGTTTCCTTAGATCTAGAAACACAGCTTGCTGGTGGTTTTGTGAGGCGTGAGCTTCAACTTTCCTCTTCTGCAGGAGAGTACTGCCAACAGAAGCAAGCTGGGGTGGCTCCAGTCACAACTGGGAAGCTGCCGTCTCTCTCTGAACCCCAGGCTTTGGCTGTACTTTAAGTCTTATGAAAATCTAGCACCATCTCACCTTTTAGATATGTACCCCAGGCTTGGCATCGTGGTCCCAAAGGGGCCAAGTCACTCTTTGCTTCTTAAATCTCATCCCCCAGATTAACTACAGCAAACATATATGTTAGCTCGCCCCCGTTTTTCCTTGAATACTATATGGGTGACTTCTACTGGGTAACCCTGATAAAAGTTGGGGTCTCCGAAGGACCAGTCTTTGTTCAGAGTTGCACTCAAAGAAGCAAATTCTGACTGCCAGATGATAATTACAGAAGAATTCCCGTCTTCAATAGCTTGAGCCAGACTGGGTAGGTTTGAATCCTGGCTCTGCGACTTAGTAGCTGTATAAGCTGGGTATGTTCCTTAATCTCTCTGTGCCTCAGTTTCATCATCTGTAAAATGGGGGCAGTTAATACCTACTCTGTGGGATTACTGTGAGGATTAAATATATGTGAAGTGCTTTGTAGAAAGTGCTATATAAATTAATACAATAATGGTAATTATTATTCTACTACATGTATCAGGACGTTTCATCTATAACTAATAGAACAGCTGGCCAGCAACCTTCCTACTAGAGTTTCAGACCAGCTCCTGGAGACCGTCAAAAACCAGACTCAACTGGGCAAATTCTGGTTAAATCCAAATCAATTCGGAGTTTGTGTTTCATTCATTCATTCATTCAACCATCTCTCCAGGAAAATTAACTGAGTACCTACTATGTGCTGGGCTCTGTCCTGGGTGCTGGGGTCATGGCAGTGAATGAGAGAAGAGGTCCCTGCCCTCATGGGGTGATGACAACCCAATGAGGGGTTGATGCTTCCATGTCTTGAGCTTCAAGATACAGGGTCCTTATAGCCTGAGCCATGCTAACTGCCCGCCCCAAAACCAGGATCCATCACCATGGTAACCATGTGCAAGGGAAAGGCGGGGTTCACCCTGATCCAGCTAATGCTGAGCTTCTGTGAACACTGGTGTGTGCCCACACAACTGTCGGTGGCCATAAATGAGATGACATATGTGGAAGCTGTGGCCCTGCATAGAAGGTGCCACTAAGCGTTGCTTCGTCAGCCCGTGCACACGTGGTCCTTTAGAAAGTGTGGAGATGAACGCGGCCACCTGCCCCCCCTCCCCCCCCAAGGTCTTTCCAAATGGCCAGGCTCCCCTGTCAATGCCTGGGGAGCAGCTCAGGCACCGCTCTCTCTCGGCCTTGATGGAGTCGTGTTGCACGTGGATTTGGAGTTCTGCATTGTGAAGTCTGATTTGAGTGGAGGGTGGATGCTGGCATGAAGGCCCCAAGAAGCTGTGCTGGGAGGTGGGGCCTGTCTCATGTTGCTGGACATGTTGGGGCCTGTCTCATGTTGCAGGATGAGCGCATCTCCCTGGAGGCTGGCTCTGGGCAGGGGACCTCCTCTCACCCCTCAGGGCTTGGCACCTTCTTGACTGTAGCTGATCTGCCCTCCTCCCAGTTAGCACCTAGGCTTCTTACTCGAAAAGGGAGCCTCAGAACTGCCATGTTTACTCATCCTGAGAGCTGAGGACCGTTTGGGACGAGGTGTGGCATTTTTCTCGTAAGCCCCGAGGTCTTGCTGGTAAGATGTCGGTGGCTGGGGGCCGTGCAGGCCTGCTGCCCGGGCTGGCTTCCGGAGGCCTCTGGTTTGCAGAACGTTGCTGACTCAGAGGCTGTTGTGTGTGTCACTAGCCCAGTGCAGCCAGCGCACCGTGTGGGGTGGCCTGGGAGGGGGCCCCCCCTTGGCAGGATGTAAAAATGCACCTCTAGGAGCCGGGCTGACCTCAGACCCACCCACTCTGAAAATTCAGAAATAGCTTCCAAGGTGAAAGTGCTTTCGTGAGAGAAGGTGGCCTGGTCACCAGTCAATTCAGTGTGTTAACCACATGTTCTCTGTGGGGTGGACTAATATGTACTAACAATGTTAGTAGGAACAGCTGCTAACATGGCTTTTTTTTGTTAACTTGGCATCGTTCCAACTGTATGCATTGCCCAATGTCTTTCTGGGATGCACATTACTATTCCCATTTTACAGATGAGGAAACTGAGGCCCAAGAAGTGAAACGATTGACTCACATTCCGTTAGTGAATGTGGGGTACTTACAACGTGTCGGATGCTGTTTACAGCACCTGTCATGTGTCTACTCAATTGATTCCCTCTAAAGTTGTTAAGAACCGTCATTGCCCATTTTTGGCAGGGCAGGTTCAGAGGGGGTCAGGGCTTGCCTCAAATCCATGGCAGGGCATGGCAGGCTGGACTTGGACCCCAGCAGTCTGGCTCCCACCTGTGTGTTTCCCTGTGGCTCTGCCCTGGTGTGAGCCCCTCACTGCTGTGCTCAGCCCCTGCACTGGGCCATCGGTGGCCACCACCCTCAGACACTTACCACCTTACCAGACACAGAAAGGCTGAATCTGTGAGGTCAGTGGAGGGCAGGGAAGGGAGAAGGGGCTGTTGGCCAGAGGATCCCAGGCAGCAATTGAGGCTGGATGGCGGCAGAGAAGTGGGATTTGGATGCACAGCAGGGAGAGGGGGGCTTTGCCGGCACAGAGCCACATGGCACGAAGGTGTGTGTGTGTTTAGGGGTGTGGAGGACACTGGGGCCACAGCAGCTCCTGCTCCTTGTTGAAACCCTGCCTCGGAGTGTGGCCTTGGGCAAATCACTGAACCTCGGCTGCTTCGCCAGCAGGTGCCTGCCCTGTGAGCACACCTTGAGATATTAGAGAGGAACGGTCTTGGGTAGAGCAGTGCTTACAGGACTGTCTTCGCTCAGGCCGCCATAACAGAATTCCACTGACTGGGTGGCTTAAACAGCAGAAGTTATCCTCTCATAGTTCTGGAGGCCAGAAGTCTGAAATCAGGGTGCCCGTATGATCGGGTGCTGGTGAGCCTGCATGCCTTCTCGCTGTGGGCCCAATGAGTGAGCAAACAAGCTCTCTGGTCTTTCTTCTTACAGGGCACTGATTCCATCCTGAGGGCCCCATCCTCATGGTCTCATCTAACCCAAATCACCTCCCAAAGGCCCACCTCCAAATACCATCACACTGGGGGTTAGGGCTTCAACATGGCAATTTGCGGGACACAGTTCAGTCCACAGCAAGGACTGTACAGGTGAAGGTTTGATCGAGGGGTGTGTGTCAGGAGTTAGGGTTCTGTCTGCATGTCCTGGGAGAGTTAAGGTATCTTAGGGACACCTGGTGTAATGTCACACACACGCACACATAGTCCTTGCTGGTCACTCCAGGCAGCCTTTGAGTTGGCCATCTGTGCCAGGCCTGGGCCTGTGAATCTCACTTAGAGAAATTTCGGACTGGGTCTGGTCCTGGCTTGGACCTGGTGGAATTTCTTTCCAGGCAGCTAGTGACTTCTTGGGCCTGGAAGGGGGTGGGCTGGGGAGCCCAGGGGTCCCAGGTTTATCTCGCTGTCACTCAGGCACTTGGCCCTGCACCATCGTCCTCTGTCTCCCTCTGCAGGCTGGTGCGGGTGGGCTATCAGGTGGGTCCTGTAGTTAGGGCTTGCCGAGTGCACGTGGGGACGGTCTGCAGGTCAGTCAGTTCTCACACCAGACTGGGCTGAGGGAGTTGAGAGGGAGACAGGACAAAATGCCTAAGACTGATGGCAGCGTGAAGTGGGTCGGGCTGCCTCCTTACGGCACGTGGGCTTATGTCGGGCTTTGGAAACATGTGGATGTATTACGGTTACCCTTCTTGATTGTGGGGAGGGGGGGGGTGGTGCCGTGCCGTGAGCTGGTCGTGACACATGGGAGGACATAGAATGATCTGGAAGGTGAACTTATGGAAGGATAAGGTGCAGACTAGGCTAGAAGATTCCATAAACATCCCACGAATCTGTTGCGAGCAGCAGGGGCTGTGCTGGTTTTCGAAGGAAAGTTCACTTGAGGCAGGCCTGGGGTTTTGGACCTCTTCTCAAAGGCCTTGGGGAACTTCTGTGAGATTCTGTGACATGAGGAAAGTAGCTCGGGATGGAGATGTTTCTTCCTGCTCCACGCTCCCCCCCTTAACCCACCTGGCGTGTCTGACCCGCCTTCAGTTCTCTCTGCTGCATACGCAAGGCTGAGGAAACGCAAATGTCTTCACAGAAATGTTTGGTTAATTCCTCCAACCTCCAAAGAGAAAGATGGCTTCCCAAACAATTAGGTATTTATTTTATCATCTCATTTGTGGTTGCAGGCTGAGCTGAACTGTGGGTTTGGATCACTGTTTCTTTCCCGAATCTCAACTGGCTGTAGTAACAAGTGCTTTTCTTTTTGCTTCTGTTTGTTTTATTTCTGAAAGGCAGCAGCCCCATGCTGCAGTGCTTGCTTTGTGGCTGATGCCTCTCAGCAGAGCTTTGGGGCCGAGGCCATGAGGAAGCTTCAGGAGGACCAGGGGGCAAGCCGTGGTTTGTTTAGAATGCTTTCCTGCCTGTGGTTGCTGCCTTAGAAGCCGTGTGGTTGCTTGATAGGAGAGGTGCCTCTTAGCTGCTTGTAGTCGGAAGAAATTCCGCTGAATCGGAGAAAAGGACCGGGCAGAGCAGCTCAGCTCAACTCAGGTCTGAGTTCATACAGTTGTCTCGTCCTCCCTCGCAGGGCAGCTTAGCTTAGCGAATGTCTGAGTTGTTTCTCCCTAGCTTGTAAGTTGACGTGTAATCATGGAAAAAGCGGAGGATGGAGAAGATGGTAGCGCGTTCTACACAGGTCGGGAGGGACCCCGGTGTTTTCATTAAAGAACCATTAAACTGAACGTACCTTAGACCAGTCTAACCCCTATGATGCAGATGCACACAGGTTTTCTCCTCTGATGCCATCCCATTTAGAGACGTGCCCGTGCTCTCAAGAGGGTGGAAGCTAGTTGTAGAATTTGTCAGGGTGACAAATTGGGTATTTTCGTATTTTGTCTGTTGACACCTTGCACTTTCGTGTTGATTAATCAGTGAACCATTTCCAATCCAGATCCTAAATCATCACCTAACCCATGAGACTAGCAGGACAATTCACTGATTTATGCGAGGACTGTAAAAATGTACCGTCACTATATAGGTCTTCAGTGGTAGTCTCTCATAAAAGACCACAACAATGGGGCAGTGATTCTGGGACCAGAGGCCTCTCTCCCTGCCTTTGGGCGTGTTTCTAGGTGTCACCTAGGTAACATATCATAAGTCGAGATGCTGCCTTCTCTCTCGATGTCTACCTCCACGTTACTAACAGCTGATCAACGGAACAGACTTCTTCTTTAAACATGTAGGGAAACAGCATTGTATTCTTGGTTAGTGGAAGAGGATGGGTTGTATTCTTGGTTAGTGGAAGAGGATTGGATTGGACTGGTCTGTCTCCTTCCACATCTTCTCTCTCATTCTTCCGTCTTCTCTACGGGTCCGTATTGCAGAGTTAGTAAACATCTGTCCATGAGGAAGCCAGCTACATCATCTCCTTCAATCCTGACAGCAGTCTCTCCAGGGAGGTATTCTGATCCCTGTTTTGTGGGGAAACTGAGGCTCAGAGAGAGGTCGTGAGACTTACACGGATGTATTGACAGAGCGCTTTTGTGTCGAGCCCTTCTGATGCAAAACTGCATCTTAACTCAGCCCCCAGGGGAGCTTGATGATCTTACACATGTGGAAGCCCTGACCTGGGACTAGCACCCACCAAGCTGGGGCTCTTCCTGGAAGGGTCACTCCATCTTTCTCTGCCTCAGTAACTTGACCTGAGAAATGGGCATCATAGCCCCAACCCCCAGAGATGGCTGTGAGGATTAAATAGGGCACGTGAACAGCCCCCTACAGAGCGGGGCGGCTCGGGGTGGGGTAAGGGTCTTAGTTGAATTTAAAACATGCCCTTCACTCTGGCTCTTGGTACCTGCCTCCCACCAGGAAATAGACGATTAAAGTGTCTGCTTCATGACTAAACAGGAAACTGCACCTCAAAAGTCTGCAGACAAACCTATCAGTTTGATGCTTTATAAATTCTCTGAACTCTTGACAAGTGAGCAGGCGTGGGCTTCCCAGTGAACAGCCCCTACTATTAAAAGCCGGGTGCCTGGGGTTCGGCCTCGATTCAAAGGTGCTGCTCCAAGGGTGTGACCTTGGACACGTACATGGCACCTGGTCCCCCCTAAGTGCTACTTGAATGCGTACAGAGGGATAAAGTGCAAACATCTTGACTATTTTAGCACCTTGGAACTATTTTTTCCAGTGCAGTGAGGTGATAGAGGCTCTTAGTTTCTGGATGTTATTTTGAGGGTAAATCCAGAAGCATTTGCATATGGAGGGGATGTGGGCTGTGACCAAGATTGACCTGAACAACCGGAAATGGGGAGTGTCTGTTTCCTATGATGGGACGAGTGGAGCAGGTGGCGGGGTCAGGGCGGTGATGATGGCGGCTATCAGGAGGTTGGTTTGGACCGTGTTAAGTTTGAGATGCCCGGCCGGTAGTTCGATAGCTAAGTCTGAAGTTCAGGGGTGAGGTCCAGGCTGCAAACATTAATTATTTGGCCACTGTCAGGATAGAGGCTTTTTTTTTTAAGGCCCTGAGGGAGTGGTCAGACCATCCTCTGCTCTTGGGTTTGGAACCAGCCAGTGTGGAGTAGAGACAGGCAAGTGTGATGAGGGAGCTGCCAGTGGGCCTTTTTGCTTCAAGAGATGGCCTGAAATGCATGGTCCAGACGGTGTTCAGAGCCACTACTGAGGGGTGGTTATTTTGTCCTGGGCGGCAGCAGCCTGTGACTAACGCCATCCAGTCCCAATCAAACCAACCCTATTGGAGCCCAACATGTGGGAGTCCAGGCCTGCAACTGAAGAACTGCAGAAAAGATCTCATTACTGTGTCCTCTGCCTTGAAGATGAGAGTTCAGAGAGCTCACGCCTTTTGAGAGACTATTCTGGTTTACCTAAGGATGCCCTAAGGATGCAGGTATAGCGACATCTAGCTATAAGAAATTAATTAATAAGATTATTTATAATCTTATTTATAATAAGATTAATTAATAAGAAATTATTAATCCCCATATTTCTACCTCAAGCACTCAAAACAGACTCTGGCCTTCTAATTTGGCCATTGAAAAGGGATTGAGAAAGGAAAAGGGATTATTTAAAATTGAAGAGAAAATGAATGCCTGTTAAATATATAGCTCCTGTCTCCTTTCTAAGCGCCTTCAGTGCTCGGACTGGGCAGGGGCTATAAAAATAGTAACTTGCCAACCAGAGAAAAACAGGAAGAAAGTGTACAGTCTTATGAATTTGCATGCCCACTGAGGTTCTATCACTCGTAAGAAGGAAGCAGGGGTCAAATGAGGGAGAATTACATTCGAGTAGCTCCATCATGAAATTCTGATTTTCTGATGTGCTCTGCCACAGATGCCAGTGTTATTTTGTCTCCTTAGTTGGCCGTGATTTGAAACTGCATGACATGCCAGCAACTGAGCCATTTTGTCTTGCTTTAAAAAAAAAAAACAACAACAACCCAAACCACCATAATCTTGCTGATGAACTTTGATTTCAGAGATCCCTATTTCTTTGTACAAAGGCCCTCATCTCAGTGATTATTACCCTGGTTTGGGGTTAATTCTGGCACAAATGTTAAGACGATATAGAATTGGGGGCTTAAACTACAGCCAACTACAGCCAGAGGGTTGAGTTCTATCCTGGGTTCTCAGCGGCCCTGGGTGAAGAGCTACTCATTAAATGGATGATATTAGCATGAGTTGGAAGCATAAGAGGTCGAAGGTGATTTTTTTTTTTCTTCTCAAAAATGGTTTTGCAAATCTTTTTCAGAGCTGATAGACACACACCTTAGCTGGATACAAAACATATTATGAAACAGAATGACTGTGATCTTTGATCCAAGAAATCAAAGTTAAAGGTAATTGATATCTTCTGCCTTTTTCCTTTTGTTTTCCAGCTGTGTGTTTCCTTAACTTGAATATTTTTTTGAGTAAGAGAAAACTTTACAACCTGAAGGCCCTCTCTCATTTTCCAACATTTCCTACTCTTAAGGGCTAGACCCCACCGCTCTGTGAGGGGGAACCCCCAGGGGACATACCTGAGATTCATTCTCGGTCGGGGAGGGGAGTAGGGGTGGCGATGAGGCTCTGGGGATCTGCATGCTCTCCCAGTGGCCCCATCACCCTCTTCCAGGGAGAAGGCAGCGGCGCCAGGTTCCAGCCTTTGGCAGCTGTGCTCCTGCTCTGAGCCAGCTCCCTTTTGGTTTTGTACACTTTGCTTGGTGTTTCCAGTTAAGGAAGGCTCTCCGTCAATGGCAGGGCAGTCTGCATTGGGGAACGAGAGAGGGGGCAGGTGGGTCAGGAACCTCTGGAAGTGCCCTGTGCTTAGGTAATTTCCAGTCTTGATCTCATCAACTCAAAGCTCCACCACACTCCCGCAACCCCCAGGGGCCTTCTTGTGCACTTTGGGAGGGGTTAACCGTCCCCTCGCCCCGCACTTTCTGGATGTGAAACCAGGCTCTGGACCTGGGCTGGAGCTGGGCGTGGTTTTCCCACTGAGCTCAGTGGGGCCCCTGGCCTTAGCTGTAGATCCCCTCCATCGACTTTGGGTCCTGGGCCTGTGCAGAACTGTGCAGGGAGCCGGAGGCTCAGGGTGGAGAGGCCACATGGGACAGTGAGGATGTCGCTTTACCTTTCTGTGCCTCAGCTGTTTAGATGCCGCTGCTGTTATTTAATTCTCTGCACAATGATTGCAATCAGGTAGCACGTGCAGTGCCCAGCACGTGGTGAGCGCTTGCCAGAAACCATCCAGCATCAGTATTGCTGGCTTACGTGCCTCCTGATGTCCCGCTGGGCCTTGGCTCTCGGATTGTCTGTTGGTGAAAGTGGGTTTGCTGCATCATAGGCCAGACCCCGAGTCTTCTGCAGCATCACAATGATGGCTCACTCTGAAAACCCAGTTAGAACAACCATCAGCTTTCACATCCATTAGCACACACAGCGGAGGGAGCTGACGTCCCAAACCTGGTTTCCCAGAGGGTGGGGCCTGCGGAGAAGTACCAAAACTTCCCAACAGCAGCATGAACCTTAGCAGGGGGAGGGTTTCCCTGGCACATTCTCCACCAGTGACTCTCAGACACCATCGACAGGCAACAGTAACACTCAGCGAAACTTGGCTGGATACCCACCCGGAGCCAGAGTCCCTCCCGAGAACTTTGCATCCGGCGAATCAGGATGACAAAAATGCAGCTGAAATATCAGCGCTGAGACTCAGCCACTTAGTCAAAGGGCCTTTTTAGTGCGCTTCTTCCCTCCCTGATGTTAGGACTTGGCAACGCTCTGACCTTGCAGGGGCCTGTGAACTCTGGCAAGCTGGCTCTGATCTGCCTGGCCTCAGAGGGGATTTACCATCATGTAACGCTTCAGACCCCACCCACAGCTTTGGGCTACAGGCCTATCAAGGCGTTTTTGTCCTTTTCACTGAGCCGCTGAAGCCTGGCCCTTCTAGAAAGCTCTTCTTCAGTTCCCAAGTGCCCCCAGAGCGTGTGGGGTTGGCTGGGAGGGGAGACAAGGCTGGGGAGTCGCTTAGCAAGTGAGAGCATTGTGATACCCAAGTCACAGGGGACGCCAAGGCCAATGGCCACCTTTCCTTCTTAGCTCCTTCCCACGTGCTTGTGGGGAAGACAGGCCTGGTGCTCAGGGCACAGAGTTTCAGCCCTGGAGTTCACTCTTGGCCTTCAGAGTAGCTTTCCCTGAGAGCAGTTAGGACAGAATGTAGAAGCATCCAGAGAACACTTCACATGCTTTCTGGTTCAGCCACCCTAGTGTCTAGCCACCTCTTGCCCCGGCACAGGTCCCAGGACTGACCGGGGCAAGGTAGCACAGGAGAAGGGCAGCGGGTGGGACTTGCGCCTGTGTTAACTCTCAGATTCTTTCTTTTGGCCTCCAGAACACTGCCTCCCTGGTTCAGGAGCGACTCTCTGGCCGACCCCAGGCTCTCGAGGGCCCTCACACAGTCTAACCAGACTTCAGAAAACAAGCTTGAGGTTTGGGAGAGAAATAAGATGGGGCCTGTCCTCTCTTTCCTGTTGCTTCTTTCTCAAGGGATTAAGTTCCAAAGTCAGCAGTTATAGAAAGTTCCCTGGAAAGTCTTAAATTGCACCTCAAGTCTATCTGTGTGGCCTTCTGTGTGTAACCCTGAGTGGCCATTCTTCTGCAAACTGAACTTTGGGGACCTCCGAACTCAGCTAAAAAAGTCAGCACGCAGGTGTCCGGGCCCGCAGGTGAACCAGAAAATTCCTGGGGCAGAGTGGGATGCCAGCAGAAATCAGTTTTAAGAAATTTACCACTAATCAACCCAGAGTTGTTGGATGAACAATAATAGTAAAAGGCACTGGCTTCCCCAGATTGCCATCCCCGAAAAGTAGGGGAAGAAAACACCCTTTGCTATCTTTTTCTTCTTTGCCATTGGCGTATATACTAGAGACTGGCAAACCATATCTCAGGCCAAATGTGGCCCCTGGCCCGTTTTGTTAAACAAAGTTGTATTGGCACACAGCCATGCCCATTTGCTCACATATTGTCTGTGGCTGCTTTCATGTTTAAAAAAAAAAAGCAGAGTTGAGTAAGGGGCTGTATAGCTCACAGAGCTGAAAATATTTTTATCTGGCCCTTTATAGAAAAAGTTTATTGACCCCTGGTATATTCTCTCTTTATGTCTGTAGCTATTTTTATTAGACTTGTTATTGATTTGTAACACCTCTTTATATATGGATGACCTTTGTCATACTGAATATACTACAGATTTCTTTTTTGGAGTTTTAAAGAAAAATGTATAATTTTTATATACTTACATGCGTCTGTCTTTTCTTTCTTTCTTTCTGGTTTCAGCCTTAGGTGTCAGGCTTAGAAATCACGCTGAGGCTGTAGCCATGTTCAACATCTGTGTTTTCATCACGGTGTCTCTCTGTAAGGGTAACAAAAGGTCGGGGGTGCTTGTGGCAGACTGAACACCACTGGCCTCAATTCTGTTCCAAGAAAGTGATGCTCAGTGACCACCTTAACCACTCAGCACACAGCCTTGTCTGCTCATTAACTTCGCAGAGGCTGCTCTGGCCTTTTCCTGACACACAAAAGCTGCTGAGGATTCTGGGTCCCCAGAAGAAAGGTGATGGCTAGCAAACCTCATAGCACAATCTCTTTACCTATATGGTGGAGCCATATAATGTACAGGTTAATAAAACAGGGCTATGGATTCAAATCCTGATCCCTCCCCTTCACCTGCTGTGCCAAGTGACTGCCTGTCTCTCTTTCTCCATCTATAAAACGAGGATGACTGTATTACTAGGTTTGGTGTGAGAAGTAACTCAGTGCTTGGTTCAGCACCTGGCACGTTGTTATCCCTGAAAAAATGTGAATGGCTTACATTCTTTTGTGGAGAAAAAGCTCCAGGCAAACAACAGACCAAAAACCCGTTTTGTCAGTTGGATAACAGAAAAATCAGCTTCCCTAAACTAAGTGACCTAGGCTGACGGTGTGGGGTCCTCATGGTGGGCTAAGATGCATGCATTAGGCACCTGCTGTATGCATGCTGCTATGCATGGTACAGTGGGCATACAAGCAACTCAAATAACATGGCACATGGGGGCAAGCATTTTGAGAACTCAGTGTTTGCTTCTGGAGGGAGTCAGGACCCCATGTAGGAATGTGAGACGGCTTCCGGGAAAAAGGTGATACTCAGGAAAGGGGGCAGGAGGGAAGGCAGGATTTGGGCAAGAGAGGAACCATTTGGAGAACTGCCCACGGCCCGATTTGGGAAGAGGTGGGAGAAGAGGTGCAGAAATTGGCATAGGATAGATGCTCAAAACATTTATCGGATGAATGAAATACTGATGGCAGTGACCTAGAAGGGCGGGTTTCAACACTCAGACCTGAGAGACCTGGGGCCAAATCCCAGAGCAGACAGTGTGACCTGAGGCTCCTTAGTCCCTTGCTAAGCTTGTGCTTTCTCAGTAGTAATACATGTTATTGAGAGCTTTCTCTGTACCAAGGCACTCTTCAAAAGCCAGGGATACGGTGGGGGAACAAGAAAACTAAAGCACTAGAACAGTGAACTGCCAGGAACCGGTATATGAAGGAGATAAGGAGACCAAGCACAACTGGGTGGCGGCATGTGGCACTGCCGACTGTCCCCAGGGCCTGGGGCCGAGGAGACTGTGTTTGAGCAGAGCCTCGAAAGAAGTGAGGGAGAAAAGCATTAGAAGAGGCGAGGGGACCAGCAAGGGCAGAGGCTTGGAGGCATGAGTGCGGGCTGGGGAGCACGTAGAACGGAAGCCAGTGTGGTTCGCTGCAGGGGGGGAGGGGGAAGGGGGAGGCAGTAGGAGGCGAGGTCACAGCGGGAACCAGATCAGGGGCAAGACAAGCCCAGAGCAGGGTTTTTGGATAAAGGAGACCTTAAGCACGTAGGGGGCCAGAGTGAGACTAAAGGTGTGACAGAGAGGAGGTGACAGGGCTGCTGAACGGGCAGACCACCTTTCCTTCCCAGGGAGAGGTTCCATGGTGACATCGGGAAGTTGATTCAAAGAAAGGGCAGCACGATGCCCCCTTTTCCCTTCCACCCAAAGACGCGAGGCTGCAGAGGTGGGACCTCTCGAGTCGGGGTGAAGTGATTGGGCAGAGACCCTTTCGGGGAACTTGGAGCCCACGTTTGCAGACCCATGTGGCTGCACTGCTGTGGCCGCCCCCCAGCTGGCGCTTCTGCCCTAGAGCTTTCTCCCCATCCACAGCCAGGGGCACGAGCTCTGAGGTTTCAGAAAGAAAAGGTTCCTCTCCCCCGGAGAGGTTGCAGTGGGCGCGAGCAGGCCTCGCTTTGGGGCCCGACTGGGCGGCCGGCCGCCTCCGTACCCCGACCGCGAAGGGGTCCGATGCAGAGCGTTCCCCGAGTTTTCTAGATTCGACTGTGGCTTTCAGAAAGCCAGAGTGGTTTCCATCCAAAGGGAGGGGGAAGCTAGACCGTCTCCCACCCAGCCCCTAACCTGGCCCCGAGCTCCGAGAAGGGAAACGACCCTTTGGCGAGGGCGGTGGTGCCAGTGGCTCTGCCCAGCAGTTATTTTTAGAAAGCCGAGGCCGTGGAACGTTTCCATTGAGGATTGACTCCTCTCGTTTCCTAGGTTGAGAAAACAGGAAACCCTTCAGAATCCGGGCTTTGAAAAGCTTCGCGTGAAGCCGCACCGACCCCGCCTCCCCCCTGGCCACGTGCTTTCACTCCTGCCTGGCTGTCCTCACTGAGGGCCCCCCGGGCCGCCCAGCCCTGCACACTTCCCAGAGGCCAGGCTGCAGAGGCGAGGGAGGGGTCCTGCTTCCTCCAGCTCCGGGAGTCAGCTGGTATCTGCTACACAGTCAGGGCCCAGTTAGAGCTGGTTAGCCGAACACACGAATTCCTCCCCGGAGTTCCTATCAGTGGATCCACTCCCACACTTTGCAGCCGGTTGTTACTCTGATACATACATTCTCATCCATTAACATCCAGAGGTACTGTGTCACGTGCTCGTACATATGTACATATGCACATACCAGTCTCTGAACCAACATCTGCTCTACGCCGGGGACTGTGATAGTTTTCTCACTGTGTCATCTCATCTAAGCTCCTCAACAACTGTAGAAGGAAGGTCATATTTTTATACACAGTTTTCAGATGGGGAAACTGAGGCACAGAGCAGTTACATCACTAGGGTGAGGTTCAGCGAGCAAGGAAGCAGCAGAGGTGGGATTCCAGCCCCGGCCACCCGGCTCTAGAACCTGAGCTCCCGAGCGCCCCTTGCACCTGCTTTCAGCACACATCTGAAGAACAGTGAGTGACGCCTGATTGGTTTCTGCCACAAACAGAGCCCGCTGGTGTAAAGCACTAGGTTTAGAGTCCAACACAAAGCGTGGGGTATCACTACCCGTCACACAACTGACAGCTACATGACGCTGGTTACCTGGCCTCCTGCTAGGAGCTTGTATATACATCAATGCCCAGCATCCTCACAGCAGCCCCAAAAGGGACACATGTTGATGATTCTCACTCTACAAGTGAGAAAGCCGAGGCACAGAGGGGTAAGGTCACACGGCCCGTTTAGTGAGGGAGCCAGGAGTCAAACCCAGCATATCCAGCTCCAGAGCAGCGTGATTTTGCTCTCTGCCTATTCTGGGAGTTGCAGACTCATCCAAGCAGGGGTTTTCCAGGGAAAAGCACCCTGGACCTAGGCGAGCTCAGGGTGGAGGGAGTCTGAGCCCATCGACAGTTCACCCTCACTGTTCATCTTCCATCTCTATAACTTGAGGATGAGGCTGAGATGAGAAAACAGAGGCGGCGGCTGTGGGAGGAACTTAGTGGGAGCACCAGGAGAGTGGAGATTCGTCTCCCTTTTATGGGACCCCAGAGGGGTCCTGCCTCCTCTTCTGCTTCCGGACCCAGTCCACACAATCCAGCTGTGAAAGCAAAAGTGCACACACACACTTTAGGGCAGGTGCACACCCCTGCCTGGTGTCTGGGCAGCCTTTGAAGGCAGCTTTTCCCCAAGAACATTGAAGGAAGCCTTTTGCAAGAGCCACTATTCTAAGAGCTTACTGCCTTGATCCCAGGACCTGGTGCCTCAGATAAGTGGCCAGAGTGGGAGAGCAGAGCTAGCTCCTTGATGCCACTGGCTGGCACTGCATTCTTGGTTCCCTGCTAAATTCCATGCAGCTTTCTGGGGCAGGGGGTAATGGAACACTCCAGAGCCCCTTGAGGACACTTGGTACTTGAGAAGACTCAGAGTGTGATCCTTCACTAGTGAGGAGGGGTAAGGGGGGGGGGTTGTGCTGAAAGGGATGAAGATTATGTTTACATTGATGGCTACGCTTTGTGGTGGTCCCACCCACTCTCTTTTTAAAGGCCCTTCTTGCGAGTCGTAAGTTTTGTGGGTCACGGAGCAGGTATTTTCTGGATGTTGTAATAACAGAGTTTGGTATACAGTAGAGCACCTCAAGTGCATTCAATAACGAGAAGGAGAAAGTGTTCCTTCAATCATGCCCCGTGGCCCAGCTCCATTTCTGCCACAGCAATTTTTAAAAGTTACCATTTGGGCAATTTTCACTAACAAACCCATACCACAAAATAGCATCATGGGGGGTGAGGAAGAAGCATGATGTGGGAAGGCATTTCTTATGTTAAAGATTGTCAGATGTATTACTGCAAAGACAAAAACATGTTTTAAAAAAACAGCCCGGTTGTATTAGGTTCTAGAAAGCTAACCTGATCCCTGTTTTGGGTGCCCTCTCACTCGCACTTACTCTCTCTCTTTTCTTTCGTAGTTAATGAAATTATCAGGAAGGAGTTTTCAGGACCTCCTGCCCGAAATCAGACGTAGAAGAAAGCCATTAGCAAGACATCATCCACATTGCTAACGCCGGAGCCTCCCACCGTCCTCCCCGGTACCCACCCCACCCGGAGGCTGAGCACGGGACCATGTACCGGCCGAAAGCTAACCCTCTATTCCGGAGCTCGCCTCCTCTCTGTGCACTCTGAGTCTTGTTCTAAATCCCAAAGAGCATCTCGGTTGACTTTCAGGTGTCCCATCCAAACCTTAAGTGCCTGCTGACCCCAAATACATCCTGAACCAGACCACCCGCTGGAATGCGCCTGAGAGCTGAGAGCCTGCAGCCGGGGACTCGGGGGACGGAAGATGGGGATGCAGTTAAACCCCAGCCCTTGCCTTCACTTTTTTGGGTCACAGATACAGCTCTTGTACCTTTTGAAGGAAAGGAGCTCTCCAACAGAGCAACCAAAGGAACGTGACCCAGCTTACGTCACTGGGCTGAAGAAAAACAAAGAAGCCGGCCCACCTTCCCTAGGGATTGCCCATCCACACCAGGGATGGGCCACAGCTCAAGCTTGATTTTTAAATGTTCTGCTTCTGAATCAAAAACAGTCTGGCTCTTACAAGATCAACTGTTAAAGCTTCTCGGCGTTATGACATGTGTACACTTTTTT